CGTGGTGGCAACTGGGACGCATGGGAGACTGTCGCTTCCGTAACAAACGACTGCTCCCGCCGAGTTTCCCGTCGACCCTGTTTTTCGCCCGGTTGTGACCCGGTTGTGACCGCACCGTCTTGTCGACACTGGCCGTGTCATCGGCGATCGCTCGTCAAACTCAAGTCATCGTCACAAGCGCTGTCGATGGCCGACCGACCGCGTTTGGCATCAGTAGGCGACATCGGTATGGCGAGGGCAACGGTATCGGTGGTCGTCGTCGTCTGTTGGCTGCTGGTCGTGGTTCCTGCGTTCCCCGCCAAGCTCGGCTACGAGAGGTACAAGAAGGGTAACAGGGGACCATTCGAGTCCCAGGAGATCGATTTTCCCGAAGACCGCATCATTGACCTGCCAGCGGTTGTGTTCCCAGAACCGGAGTGCAACTACGCCGTGAGGTTGGTCAGTCCGGCCGGGCCTGTTGTCAGAGGCGTCAGCATCGGTGACCCGTTGTATCACCAGTGGAGCTGCCACACGCCCGATTCGCACTCCGAGCTCTACTGTATGGTCGTGCGCAACTGTACCGTCGCCAACAACCATGTGTCGTACCCGATAATCGACTCCGATGGCTGCACCTTGGAACCGTCCATCGTGCCGGACGTTACCTACGAAAGTGACCTCAACGGAGGCATTTACGCCAGGGCCTTTTCCCTCGGATACAGCGAACCAACACTGGCGTTTAGATGCACTATAAATTTGCTCATCAAGGAGAACGGAAAATGCCCAAGATCAGACTGTTCGAAACTGAGACACTGACCGCAAGTCTAGGCAAATTTACTTTCTTAATCTGTTCCGTTTCCACTGCCTGTTGCTGACTCTGTTCTTTCAAGTACCAGCCATGCTTGAAGTAAAAAAGCGCTGTTTTATTGTTGTTGTGTATTTTTATGGTTATAGATATTATTTATTAAATGCTGTTTTCCACCAACTTAGTACACATATTGGATATGTATGTACGCAAGTTTCACTTATATAAATTATGTATTTACTGTCTAAACATCATCCCTTTTTGATGCCACTGATTTAAGTAGGTGAGGTCTTAGCAAGCACTCAGAATTTTACGTCTTAAGTACTTATCGTATGGCGTAAAAAATGTTATTTTCCTTCACTTGTACATATATTCCAGTTGGCGTCGGCCAGACCTTCCGTTCCTTTCGTCGAAAATCCCTCGTTCGAATAAGAAATCGAAAATGAAATACGTA